GTTGTTCCCGCACAATATGAGCATGACGCTGATAAATCAGCCCATTTACAATTCTACTGTGTGTGCATAAGAATATCCCCCTTTAGGAAAGGCCTAAAGACAACTTAGTAGCACTGTCCTGGTGGGGGTGCAACAGAATTCTCGACTTGCCTTTACAATACAAATGTAATATTATAGATCTAGATCTACTGCTTTTTTTTATTTTATGTCAATGGTTGTTGTTTTTTTAAGATTTATATTTTTACCACGAATTTTAAACATTTTAATCTGACCGTTGACCACATTTTAATCTGATCATTGACCTTATTGATGCAATGCTTAGAAGTAACTGTCGAGAATATAGCAAGTAGCAAGCATGACATGTTTCGCGCGCTCGTGTAATTTTTAAATAACTCTGAACAGTGAACAGCGAGGGCCGATACACAATGTTCATTGTTCTCGGACGTCCGCGCCCTATCAACTTCAACACATGTGTGCGCACATTTTTTCAGACGGAAATATCTTCCGTGCTCAAGAGAAAGTAATCCGGAAATCAACCCTGTTTACTTTGGAATGTCTTTAAAACTAATTTTTTTAAAATTAAACTTGATTAGTATCAAATGCAGCAATACTCTTAGTTGCTACCTTTAATAAAAATTAAATTCTTTATAAATTTACAGATCTGGTCCATAAAACTTTTCTTTCATTATATTTACAGTGTTAACCACAAACATTTAGAGCAAATTATTGCATTCTTTTTTTTAAATTGGAGATATAAAAAGCTTGGTCTAATTTAATGATAATGTCCCTTTGAAAAGATTGTTCCCCTTTATTCCCTTGTTAGCGTTCGGCTGACTGGGTTTACAGTTTACATAATACTAAGAGAAGATTTGCTGCCAGTATTGCAACAAAATAATGTAGATCTAGCAATACAGCAGTTATCCTCACCAAACTGTTGGTGGTTTTCTCTTTTATATCAGGATTGGACTGAAACTGGCAGGGTCTTAGACGTGGGGAGAAAAAACCCAAACATTTAATTTACCTTTTCAAGGGTCGACGTCTATGCAAGGAGCTTACTTTTAACCTCCTTGCTTCTTGGCTAAAATGTTATCTCCTCCATGTTTCCCGTGGCCTACCCCTGCCTCGAGCTCCTTGTGGGAGTATAAGTTAACCTGTACACTATAATATAGGCTACTGCTCTGTTGATATGAAACAATCTGAGTAGGGTCTTACGACGAATTTAATCTTTTCCTCTCCTGCTTCTAGTTTCTTTCTCTCTGCATGCTAGTCACGACCGCTTGTCATATAATGTAGGTGGGTTTTTTAAAAGAGACCCCCAAAAAGACAGACAACAGAACCAGCAAAAGAGAAATGGACACCCTTACCCTTCTCCTCTCCTCCCCACCCCACTCCCTCCCCACCCAGGACGCTTTTATTCTACATTTTTAGATTCAAACTCGTTGCATAACTGATTTTACTTTCTTTGTACTATAGGCTATTATTGGAGGAGGGGGTGGGGTGTTTTTTGAAGGGGATTTTTTTTTGTTTTGGGGGGGGGGGGTTGGGGGTGGGGGAGGGAATTATGCTTTTTTGTCTTTTTGTTGTTTTTCTTTCACATTAAGTTTAAGTCTAACAATCTTGTCTGTGTACATGTATGAGTTTAACACCCTAAAAGACACGCATAACGATAAGCAGGCCTATAAAGAACAGGGTTTTCAATACAAAGTGTTATTTAATAGATTTATATATTGTTGCATGGCCCGGAAACATGAAAAGTTAACAAATAAAGCAGATCATTAACGTTAATGGTTGCCTGAGGAAGATCATGAAAATCTCTTCGCCGGATGCCATCAGAAATGTAGAATTATGGAGGCGAGCCAAACAACAAGCAATTGACTGCTAGATCGAAAAAAGAAAATGGTCGTGGACTGGACATACACTTTGGAAGCCAGCTTACAACGTGGTAAGACCAAGCCTTAGCTGGAAAACCCTGGGCTAAAGAAAGAGGGGCTCTCGTGGTCGAGTGATTGCCGTGTGCGCCTCTCATTCAATAGGTCCCGGGTTCGATTCCGGATATCGGCGGACATTTTCTTACCTAAAATTTTCTCCTTTCACCTTCTTTCCGTGGGTGGTTGGCGGGAGCTCTTGTGTGGTTTGCTTCTTCTTTCCTATCAAACTCAAACATATGTCGTCCTTATCTCCCCTTCTTCTTTTTTATGTTTGTTACTCTCTTGTAACACCTCTAATCTTCTGGCGCTCATATGACCTTATGCAGTTGTGACTGCCGTAAAACTCTTACTAAACACCTTCTTTCCTGTTCTCTGACAGTGTTCTGTTGTCTGCTTTCGTCTCCTCTTTGTGTCCCCACTCCCTCACCCCCTTTGCCCCTCCTCTAGGCTTCTGGCTCTTTCTGCAGCCTTTCTACTGCTACTCCCTGGCTCCTTTATTTTCTTATCGCTGTCTTTCAGCCACACCACTGGTCTAAATGGTAGGCATATACATGTATAGGAAAGATATAACCCCTAGCCTTTTCGGATAAGGGCGATAAATCTCGGAGGTCCCTTGTGTAAGTTGCGCCCGTTAAAGATCCCTTAGTGGTCCAAAACCGATAAGAGTAGATCTAGGCTTCGGCTGCCATCCGGGCAAAATCCAAAATTTTCGACCAAACTGAAAATGTTTTGTTTTACTTTAAAGTAGAGGTTTTACGGCGCTCGCACTGCACAAAATTAAGGTCACATGAACGCCAATGAAAATATTTAGTGCGTCCCGCGCGCTCATATGAACTTGTTGCATTTGCAAGCACAGTAAAACACACACTAAACATGGAGAAAGAGACAAAGCTGAGACCCACCTGGGAGCGACATCTGGAGGCAGATTAAAATGCATATTAACCCTATCCGTACGCCCTGGGGTCATTTTGTAACCCCGGCGTTATAATCTTCACATTTTAGAATACTTCTAGTTCTAGTACCAAGTACCAAGATTTCTTTGAAGCTTTCAGTATTTCCCAAAAATCATTATGCTATGCAAAGCGTACGGATCGGATTAACGAGTAAATTTCCTCTTTGGAAAGTTGTGGCACAGAGGTTCCCACGTCGTATGGATACGATAGTAAATCACGACGTACGGATAGGGTTATGGGACACAGCTGGTTTATTGGAGGCGGAGAAAATCGCCTAAAACAGAACGAGGTCAAGAGCCCTCCTTCTTGGTAGCCAATGCCCAATACCAATGTGAAAGAGGCAGGGATGATGATGGCGAGACACAACACATACGTCATGGGCTTCACGCAGTGGTGTTTCGTAAAGACAGACACTGTGTCTTTGACCAGGTTAAGTTTAACGAAATTAACGCCTCCCCATAAATAAATTCATTTGAAAGGCGGGCTCCACATACTGAAGTTTCTGGAATCTATACATGATCTACTATTAACCAGTTTAACCAAACTCGCGGGAGAGACATGAGCAACGTACGTGTAGAGCTGGGCCGATGACATAAGGAGATACATAATATATTGTATCATGTAGAGGTACGTCCACCTTACGCCATAGAGGAACCCCCCCCCCCCAACCCCTCTCTCTCTTTCACAGACACACGCACACACACACACACACACACAGACACACACACACACACACACACACACACACACACACACACACACACACACCCAAGAGGTGAGCAGAGTAAGTCTGATTCCCTGTAAGGACTCTGTTGACATCCGCCCTTTGGCGCTCATATGACCTTATGCAGTTGCGAGCGCCGTAAAACCTCTACTAAAACTAAACACACACACACACACACACACACACACACACACACACACACACACACACACACACACACACACACACACACATGACACATCCCTTGAACAGCCACATGACCTTGCACGGTGGAATGAGGAATGTCACTCCCACATCGGCCTCACTAGCCACAAGCGATCCTTCTCCGAAAACAGCACCGTGAACAATAATATAATAATAAGATAAATATACAGTGCTATTCTCTTCGCTGTTGTTTTGTGTAGGTGCGTGTTATACTCGGTTAAGTATTGTCCAAAATTGGCTCACTTCAAAGTTATTGATCACTATATTTATATATTCATTTTGAAGGTAGACGATTGGGTTAAAAAAAATTATATGTGGCTTTTATGGAAGTTTAAAATTAGAAAATGTATTAAAGTACCGCATGTGCAGTTGCTTATTCTTAAATAAGGGGAATATACCGGTATAATATTATACCGGCTTTGTTTAAATCTCTCTTGAGTAAATATCTTTAATAATTGTCGGTTCAAACCAAGGAGTTTCTAAGCTCCTTGGTTCTACCGTAAAAATTAAAAACTTTAGGCCTAACAGACAAGTGATGAAAGAGGTGGAAGCGAAAAGAAAGGGACCATCGATCCGCTCCAGCAGCAGTGGCATGAGCACTACGCTAGGCTATACGCAGTAAAAATTATGAGTCAGTTAATATGATGAACACATCTTAATCGTAGTCTATATATATATATATATATATGATTATATATTAGGCCTAGCCTTTGTAACAAAGCCCGAGGGAAACTATGAATTGATGTTTGTAATCATGATTATGTATTAAAATCACAAATTAGACAACTTATTGCTGTATTGAGAAACAAAAAAATGGATCAATCATTACTGATCAATTCATGTACAATGTACTTAATTTTGTGTGTGCATCGAACACAATATTGGCAATAAAAAAAAATAGATTGGTAAAATCAGCACAAATCAGAGGTGAAACAAATGCTTCCGGTGCACTATAAGGTTTCCAGATTTTGTCTCTTGCCTATTTACGAAACATTTTTGGAACTGGGTTAGAAATACTTTTGACCGAAAAAATAAACAATATCATATACTGTCTATTTGATTTTGAGAAAAAAAGGACATTATATCTGTAATATCTTTTTTCAAATCACATTGGAACAGCAAAGTAATTTTAAACTTTCATTTTACGAGGCCCTTGAAAAATCTGGAAGCACGACTTCCGGTTCAATTTGGGATAACAAGCGAGGGTACCCCCGCCAAACGCGCTGTACCTCAAAATAACCGCATAACAAAGCAACAGTAGTATTTATATTCTATCTGTGTTTGGACAGGTCAATTAAAAGATGTCTGATTCCGACCAGGAAAGCCCACCTGAAACAATGGAACAAGATGATGTGGACGTAAGTTTGTTGTTTGATGTGTGTCAGCAGATATGTCTACTAATTTATGAGTACAAAGTAACTACGAGTTTCAATGCCGGGGAGAGAGACTGGCCTGACCCATGCCAGTGACCCCATCTTCTTCAACTTGGACTTGGAGTTCCAATTTGTTGTAGCCTAGGTCTATCTCTGAACTCGCTAAAGATTAAAATTATAGAAATACTATACTATACTAGCCTATACATTTCTTCTTTCTTTTTGGACAAAAAATCCTTTCTGAAGATTGAATTAAAAATTGTTCATTGTTCATCATATTGTTTCAGGAAGCAACGCCAACATGATGCCTGTAGCCCTGTAGTCCTGTAGGCTACTGCTGCGGACATGTCCATTGATGCTCCGTTTCTCTCTCCAAAATGTCGCCGAGGATGTTTCCACTGATTGTACCTGTCCATATCTGGTTGAACGTTCTTCTGTTCTTTCCTGCAAGGGTGCCAGATTTTCCGCTTCCTTTTTGTATTCCCAAAACGAAGTGACTATTCCCAGTGACTGACACTGGGGATAGCCTGTAAAGAAACTGTCTATTCCCAGTGACAACGGAACTCTTTTGCATAAAAAAATCAGAAGCTTTGCACTGTAGCCTAGAAAGACTCTCTTTTCACTTCAGTTCTGTACTTTTGTTCTCTTCTCTTAGGCTTAGGGGGTTTAGATTAGACTTGACCTTGCCGTAGAATAGAGATCTAGATCTCTAGATCTAGAATCTAGATTTATCTAGTTTTAGAAAGAAGAATCGGGAAGGATTTCTATCTGTCCTGTACCGTGGTCTCCAAAATCCGTATGTAGATCTAGATCTAGAGATCTACACGTACATTTAAATTACAACTGAATAACAATCAAACATAGAATGATCTTTCCTTTTTCTTTAAAAAAACGGAGTGTCTACGTACACGGTAACCGGGCACGTAGCCTCAGGGTCTACGTACACGGTATACGGGCACGTAGCCTCAAGGTCTACGTTCACGGTAACCGGGCACTTACGCTAGCCTCAGTGTCTACGAACACGGTAACCGGGCACGTAGCCTCAGTGTCTACGTACACAGTAACCGGCAACTGGGCGTGTAGTCTCAATGTCACACACACGGTAACAGGGTGCGTAGCCTCAATATCTACACACGGTAACCGGCAACTGGGCGTGTAGTCTCAATGTCACGCACCCGGTTACGCCTCAATATCTACACACGGTAACCGGCAACTGGGCGTGTAGTCTCAATGTCACACACACGGTAACCGGGCGCGTAGCCTCAATATCTACGTACACGGTAACCGGCAACCGGGCTCCTCTCATTATCTACGAACGCGGTAACCGGGTATTTTGTTTCGTGGGGGGGGGGGGGGGGCTTGAGCTAGTTGCACGGTAACTGCTTCGCTCCTTTCACAACCTTGACCTTTTTCTTTTTTCACTCCGCTTTTTGTGTGTTGTGAGCGGAATGTAATCCCAAAAATGATCCCAATCTACTCCCTGTCATCTTTCCTAAGGGAGAGCAAAATGCAGTGACACTGAAAATCTTACTTAGCAGAGAGCTGTAGTAGTAATCAACATTCTAAACATTAAACATATTTGCTTCCAGTTTCAGGGGGTTTTTTTTGGTCCTCTGGTATTGCGTCCAGCCCTCCCCCTATCCCCGAGTGCGTCTCTAAAAAAAAATCAATAATCTCCCCCCATTCCTGAGTCCTGTACTTCGGAGCGCTCAGAACACGCGCAGGTTCATTGACCGGTCACAATGGCGAGCCCGACAACACGCTTGTATTTACTTTCTTTTCTTGACAGTGACAAATATTGATTTGCGCGCCGTCATTCCAGCTTGAGGCCTCGCTCAGACGACAGGACCGCCGGCTTCTCTCCCAAATGAGAACTGGTGGAAAATTGCCCAAGCTGAGATCATATCTCCACAAAATTGCGCCAGCAGACAACCCAGATCCGTCCTGTCGAGCCTGCAAGGAGGAGGACGAAACTATGGACCATGTGTTCCTGAGGTGTCCCGCCAGCTATCGTGCTAGAACCCGTCTGCTGGGACATTTCAGTAACCCCAGTGCTTCCACTCTTCCGTATTTTTACGGAAATCCGTACTTTCTGCCAGTTCCGTACTTGTCCCTCCATCATTATCTACTCCCTCCGTAAAAAAACTGCGACAGTGCAGGACTGCCGAAATTCCGTACTCGCCTTCGTATCGTCTTGTATAAGGTACGGATATTACGGTAATTCTCTTGGCAACAATCTAACGTTATAGAAACCTGCCAAATTGTGCATTTCCTGCAATCGGACATTATACCGCTATGTCCCAGTCCCATGCATTCATTGCGTGTTGGTCGGCAGTACATTTTTTACCTGCAGATGGATCAAAATCTGGCGAACCTTTTGTGCCAATTTCCTCCTTTCTGTCATTCACTCATTCCTTCCGTCTATCTTCGGATTGTTGTCGCGTCTGGAACATCTGCGCGTTGATCAAGACTGATTTTGATCTTAGACAGAAAATTACTGTCGGAAAGAAACTTTTTTCGCAAATTTTATCTAGATCTAGAGAAATTATCAATGCGAAGATTCTACGGCACGTGAACGCAATATAAGGGCCGCGATGAAAGAATATGCTGATACGGTCGTGCCCACTACGGATGAGATCGGCCGATTGCGCTGATCGCCCGACTCGGTCGAACAACCGTGTTTGCTTTGAAACTGAAAACAAACACATTTGTTTTTGAGGCGATCGAGTCGGGCGATCGGCCGATCCCGTCCATAGTGAGCACCACGTATAAAATCAAGAACAATTCGAAGTGGTGTTCCGAGGTTGTGACAGACGACATTCAGACATGAAAATTTAGAAAAAATGTGGGTAAATGCTGCGCAACCGTATTTTGAAGGTACATCTATTCATTATTCCCAGGTTTGCCTGCTGTCAATGGTGCGACTACAAATTAATTGAATTATTGTAGCAATGAAAGGGGAACCTGCTTTTAAACATTTCCAACATTGAAAAGATATGCTGGCGATGAAGTCAAACAAGACAAAATGTTGGTGAATAATGAATATTATGGGCTGTAGGCAATATCTTCAAACAGGCTCCCAAATGCCAGTGTGTGCGGCCCCCAGACCTCCTGCAGAATTTTCCTTACTTTTCAGCTTCAGCTGGTGGAAGCACTGAACCCACTTTCAGCACTTTTTGAGGACCCCCGGGCGAGTGTTGAGTTCCTGCGTGCTGTCGGCATCGCTGACCGTTTATGAAGCCACAGCGCCAGAAGAGAGAGAGAGAGAGAGAAATATTGATTTATTTTCATGACGACACCACGTTTATAATGCCGAACCTTCATGTTACAATAATTGTTGCGTTATCAGACAATTACTGACAAATTTCTAGGTGGTAACGAAAGCGAAAGTAAAGGCTTACTGGACGCTCTGTTATGAAATTTAGTGGGTATCACTATCATGCTGGACTATAGAGCGGTTGACCCTAGTGCGTTCTCTTCGAAAAAGCGCAAACTTTGCGAACAGAGTTACCCTACTTGTGTGAAAACAATAAAAGTGACACTCTTTTTGGCTGAGTGAACTATCTCTTGGACCCTCCGGTTACCGTGTACGTAGATACTGAGACTGTGTGCCCGGTTACTGTATATGTAGACCCTGAGACTACCTGCCCAGTTACCGTGTACGTAGACACTCAGTAAAAAAAAATCTTCCACTCACACCAGAATCTACTTTACTTTAGTTTAGTTAGATCTAGATCTACTCTACATTAGATATAATCTAGTATTTAGTAACCCATCACCACCATGCCCATGTAGATCAGTGTGAGTACAATAGGCTAGATCTAATGGGCCTGTCTGTTTTCAGTGTCACTAGGAATGGGAATAGCTTCTGGGCCTATTCCCAGTGACACAGGGAACAATTCTGCCCTAGGCCCTATTGCAAGTGGTTTTTGGGCCTATCCCCAGTGTCACTGGGAATAGTTTCTGGGCCTATATTCCCAGTGTCACTGGGAGTAGTGCTTTCATTTCCAAAAGCAACATCCTCTCCACGGCTGTACTGGCCTCTGCCTCCCTATCTTCCTCCTCAATCAGCTGGCGAGAGAGACATTTCAAGATCTTGACCCTATCTGGTTGAATCGTGTTGTCAGCTGAGGTGGCCTCATCAGCCAGTCTGTCTGCTTTTTCATTTCCCCTAACACCTGCATGGCCAGGACAAAATCTATGTGGGCGATCCTATAGGCGTTGTTTCGATAGCTTGAATCCATTCTGTTCTCAGGAAACCTTTTTCGATCCTTCTGATGGTACACATGGAATTAATGATAAGAACAGTTCTGAACAGCATGGGTTGTGTGGGGACGATCTTGGGTCATCCAATCAAGTGCTTTCGTGATGGCTTCAATTTCCATTCGCATAGGCCTACTTGATGTAGCCCTGCTGCAGGCTCCAGGTGCACTGTGTATGATTTTATTCTTGTTGGCGAATGCTACAAATCCCCATCCACTTCGCTGGATATCTCTTTTCACTGGACCATCTGTATAAATTACTGAAATTGA